GCGCGCACAAACCTCCAGGGGCACCGCCGTGAAGGGGGGAGCAGGTTGGGGGGGATGCGCCCTCACTGCCCCACTTGGTCCTTTACCTACGAGGCCTCCTGCCGCGAAAAACCGAGGTTCAAATGCTTGAGAAACAGACTCATGAGATACCAGGAGGGTTGAATTTAGCAGAAATAAGAAGCCCTGGTTCATTTGAAAACTAGCAGGAAGGGGACAGTGCTCTGGGGCCGCCCCCATCCATCCCTCTTGTTTCTTTCCTAGTCCCGCGTCTTCACTTCGGACCCCGGGGCGCCGGCACTTTGGGCCGTCTGGGCAGTGGAGAACCGAATGCCGTGCCGGGTCCCTTCCCGTCCCTAACCACTTCTCCCACTCACCGAAGTAGTCCTCCCTGGCCTCCGACTCCCGCATCCTGGCCCGGGCGGCCTCCGGAACGAAAGGACCTGGTGGCTCCTCCAGACCCGACGGCTCAATCCCCGAGGGTTCTCCGCGGGCGCCAGCTTCTCGCCCACCGGTGCCCACCGTCAGGCGAAGCAACGCTGTTAGCTCGTCCTGGTACCGGGCGCCCACGGCGCAGTCCCCGTAGCCGGTCACAGAGTGTCGTCCGGGTTGTGCCCCCCGTCTCTCCAAAGGCCCCGCCGCTCCCACTCCGGCCCCGGCTAGAGCTCCAGGGCTGCCCAGGGCCGGGGGATACGAGTGGCGGCTTTCCTGGCAGCCGAACCCCGCGGGCCGCTGAGCGTACAATCGGTCCAGGGCGGCATGGAGCTCCGGATAGGCGGACGGGACCCCTCCGGGAGAATAGCCTGCCGGTGCTGCGGCCAGCGGTGGGCCAAACAGGCACGGCCCCGCTGGCAAGGGGCTCCCGTGCCGCTGGTCGTAGCCCATGCTGATGCCGCTGGTGCGATTGCTGCAAGGCCGGCTACCTCCAGCTCCGCCAGCCCCCGCCCCGTCCAGCAGCAGGCTGCCCCGGGGGCTGGACGGCTTGCTAGCGTCGCTGGCCGAGCTACTGGCGAAGCTGGAGCGGGGGCTGAGGGCCGGGGCCGTGGCCTCCAGCCGAAAATCGGGGGGCAACGACTGAGGTAGAGGCAAGGCCCGGGTGGGCGGCGGCCCCCCGGGAAAGGAGCCTTCGTAGCGCGGCGCCTCAAAGGAGCCGCGCTGATTCCGCTCAGCGTCCAGGGAACCTTGCTCCCGGGCCGGCTCTAACGGCTCATCCCCAGGTCCCCCAGTAGCTCCTCGGGGCCCTGACTTCCTAGGTCCCCCCAACCCACTTAGGCGCCCCTTGCCCGGCCCGGGGGTCCCATCAGACCCAGACCGGCTAGATTCACCCTTTCTGCGGCCGAACTTCTCCAGCAGGCGACTGGCTTTCTCTCCTAACCGCTCCATGCCCTTGGGTCTGGGGCCTCTCGCCCCCTTCCCGCCTGGCACCCTGTGGCGTCTCGGCGGCCGGTTCTCTTTCCCTGCAGCCGGACTCTGGTTCCCCAGGGGCACAGGGGAAGCACAGGGGCTTAGCCGGCGGCCTGGATGCCCGGCGCCAGGAATCCCACAGCATCCCCCAGCGGGAGGGGCTGCGTCCCCTCGCGCATCTGGGGCTGAGCAGGGCTAGCAGGGCCTCTGGCCGCGGCTGTCCCGTCCACAGGTCTATCTGTTCACGCGTCGACTCGCCGGACTGCCCCACTCTCCCTGGCCCCCGCCCCCCTCGCTCTCACGCTAGCCACAGACCGAACTTCTCTCCCAAACTTTTGTCTGCTTGGCCGGATCTACTTTCCTAGGAGGGCGGAGCGCGGTGTGTGTGAGAGGGCCGGGGGTGTCCGCGCAGGAATAGCTGGTGTGCGTGCAGAGAGGGCGCTGGCGCTAACTGCCCTGGATGTGGAGGCCCGCGGACTGTACATGAGAGGCGGGCAGGGGCAGTTGGGGCAGCTGCCCCTACATCACTCAAGAATTGAAACAGGAAAGAGTGTAGAGGTAGGGGACGGGGACTCTTTGTCTGCAGTTGGAATGCGCGGAGGGGCATGGTGGAATGTGTCGCGGCTTGGGACCCGACGACAGGAGGCATGTTCTGCGCTAGCACCGTGACTTTGTTCCCAGCGTGGGGACTGTGGGAGAGATGGAGAGAGACTGGTACAGAAATGGTGAGACAAGGAGAGAGCCATAAAGAGGAAGACAGAGAGAAAGAAGACAAATGCATAAAGAGGTTCGGAGACGTGTACGCAAAGACAGTCCTGAAAAGCGACGAAGCCCACAGAGAGAGGTGGAAGACAGGTAGCGAAAGAAAGGGAGAGCTGGGGAGCAAAGAGGAGTGTGGACGATGCAGAGACCGAAGGGTGCGCAAAGGAAAGGACAAGCTTGACCGGATAGAATGAGAGACAAACAGATAAACTGCAATTTAAAGGCACCACCTTCTGGACCCAAAAGTTTTGTGATGGTGGAGAAATTTTGTGTCTGTAAAAGCAGTGAAAAGGAGTGAGGAAAATGGGACTAATCTCTCCCTTGAGAGGGAGGGAAAGAGATCTAGTGGGTGTGTAGAAGCAGTGAAAAAGAGTGAGGAAAAGGTTTGGGACTAATCTCTACCGTAAGGGTAGGACAGTTAGAGGGATAGACAGACACCCCCTGGTGTTGGGAAATGAGATTTTTAGCAAACATTTCAGGTGATTATGGAGATTGAAGGCCTGGTTTTAGGGCCAATGAATACCTTCCCCCGTTGGTTTTGGTCGACAGAAGACTGGTGATACGGAGTAAGTATTAAGAGGAAGAAAAGAAATGCCATGTAGAGGATTTGCAAATGAAAAGGAACAGGATGGAAAAGAGACTGATACTATTTTAGAAGGATCAAGAATAAGGAAAAGAAACCCTGGCTGAAGCGGCAGGGCGCGGTGGCTCACGCCTGTAATCCCACCACTTTGGAAGGCCGAGGCGGGTGGATCATGAGGTCGGGAGTTTGCAAACAGCCTGGCCAGTATGGTGAAACCCCGTCTCTACTAAGAATACAAAAATTAGCTGGCGTGGTGGCACACACCTGTAGTCCCAGCTACTCGGGAGGCTGAGGCAGAAGAATCGCTTGAACCCGGGAGGCGGAGGTTGCAAAGAGCCGAGATTGCACCACTGCACTCCAGCCTGGGTGACAGAGGGAGATTCCGTCTCAAAAATTTTTTTAAAAAAACAGCCAATTAATTTTGCCCAGACTAGAACATCAGGGGCAAGGGGCGGAGGAAGTAGAATGCAGAAGGAAAATGACTGCTTTGTATTTAGATAGTAAACGAGTATGAAAATTATATGCAAACAAGTTGTGCATATTATTTTCATCTCAACATTTTGAACACCTTTTATAATCTTAGTGTAGCCTTAGGGAATGTGGAAAGAAAGGAGGTTAATATCTTTTGGGAAATTAATTTGTGCCAAACTATTTGGCTTCTTTGTCCTAGTTGCATTGTCTCCCTGACCTCATCTCCCCTGAGAATCAGCCTCTCTGTTTCCCTGGTCAAGGCCACAGCTTTTCTCTGATCCTGAGGAGAGTTTCCTACCAGACTGGAAGCAGGGAGGACTGAAAGCACTAGGAACAGAGGGGAGCTATCAGATTGCATCTAAAACCTGCTGTGAGCAACATCTTCAGAATTAACCATAACGTGTTCCCTCCTTTCCTGCGTCCAGATGGGGAAGGAGAACCTTGATTCTTCCTTCCAATTGCATCCAAAATATCCACACAACTTCCAAATACTAAGATTTGGAAGCTTTGATCCTTTGGGGTGAGGATGGGAGAGGAAATCTTATGAAATGCCGAGAAGCCATTAAAGGAGGCCCATGCAAGAGGTGGTGGTAACAATGGGCACAATTGGGATGAATAGCCTGTGTTTTCAAGGGATAACTGGAAGCAGAGATGAGTGAAGGGGAAGAAGTAGAAGACGCATATGCTAATAGGGCATGCTCCAATAGTGCTCATGACCTCAGGTGGCCTCTCCAGAGTCTGAACTGGAGCTGGGATCTCCAAAGGCCCTCTTCATCCCCAATACTTTATTTATTTATTTATTTTATTTTATTTTATTTTTTTTGAGACGGAGTCTGGCTCTGTCGCCCAGGCTGGAGTGCAGTGGCCAGATCTCAGCTCACTGCAAGCTCCGCCTCCCGGGTTCACGCCATTCTCCGGCCTCAGCCGCCCGAGTAGCTGGGACTACAGGCGCCCGCCACCTCGCCCGGCTAGTTTTTTGTATTTTTTAGTAGAGACGGGGTTTCACCGTGTTAGCCAGGATGGTCTCGATCTCCTGACCTCGTGATCTGCCCGTCTCGGCCTCCCAAAGTGCTGGGATTACAGGCTTGAGCCACCGTGCCCGGCCCCCCAATACTTTAATTATAATCTGTATACACAGGTGACTCCCTAATCCATATTTCCAGCCCAGTCTTTCTTGGACTTAAAAACTCAACTAACTACTAGCATCTCCACATGGCTGTCTCAGAAGCACCCAATATCCTAAACTGATATCTTCTCTGCCTCATGAAACTGGCTCCTCTAGCATTCTCTGAGTAAATGGCACAATCCTGTTAGCTGCTTAAACTAGAAATCTGAGCATCAACCCTATGTCCTCCTTCTCCCTGAACCTCAAATCCAACCAAGTCCTATCAATCACCAAGTTCTATTAATTCTGCTTCCTAACCATCTTCCAAATCTGTCCTCCCCTCATCACCACTATTTATGTCAAGTCACCATCTTTCCTCTCCTAAACCAATGCAAAAGTCTCCTGGTCAAGGCTTGCTCCCTGCAATCCATCTTATACCCTGAGGTCAAGTGATTTTTCAGTACAGAAGCTTTTCAACTTACAATGGAGTTATGTCTGGATAAACCCATCCATTATAAATTGAAAATATCATAAGGCAGAAGTGCTTCTTCAACTTACAATATTTTCAGCTTAAAATGGGTTTATCTGATGTAACTGCATCATAAGGTGAGGAGCATACCGAATCATTTTGCACCATCGTAAAGCTGAAAAATCCTAAGTCAAACCATCCTAAGTCAAACCAGTGAGTCGGGGACTTCCTGTAGGCAAAACTTGTCATTTTATTTCCCTGCTAAAAAAAACTTTCAACGATTTCTCACTGCCCTTGGGCTGAAGTCTGTACTCTGTATTATGAGGTCTCACTCTCCAGCCTCTCCTCTAGCATTATCCCTTCCCCAAACCAGTCTACAGTAGAACTGGACCTTGTCTGTACTCTCTCCCCTGGACTTTTGTACCTGCTGTTCCCTGTTTGGAACACTCTCTTAGCCTCCCCTTTCCTTCTCCTGATTAACTCTTCCCAGTTTAGACATTACACCCTCTCAGAAGCCGCCTTTCCACACTGCAAGAGTCGGTTAGCTACCCCTGCTGTATATTGCTATAGTGCACTCCACTCCACCATGGTCACCCTTATCACAGTTCATTTCATTGCCTACTCCACTGCCTGGCTTCCTGACTAGACTAAAAAAATCTCTGTACAGCGTCCAACCTTATCAACAATATATCCATAGCACAGTACCTGACACCTAGTAAAGCAATCAATATTTGTTGTAAGAATGAATAAATATAAAGGCATTTTTGCTTTTCAATCCATCCAAAATGCACACCCCTTCTTCAAAATACAGCTTGGCTAACAGGACCAAGAAATAGCTGCAAAGCTGTGTATTTTGCTTGGTCACATAGTGGGAGAGAGGCTGCCAGTGAGACATGGGAACTCTTTAAGCCTAATTTCCTCATCTGCAAGATAGGAATAGTAAAATTTTCCTCATGTAATTCAATAAGCAATAGCTATTATATCAGGATCCCAGTTCCCCAATAGTGAGAACTTGTGTTCCTCTGGTCAGAAGACTCAAGCTCATGACTGAAACTGCCCACCAGGTGGCGGTATTAACCTGGACTGGTCCTGTTCAGTTTCCACTGCAGAGCAAGACCAGTAGTCATGGGGAAGCAAAAGGTGCAACCTGGGCTGCTTCCTCAGAGCTTTGGGTGGAACTGGGCAGGGGCAGAAACAACTCAGAGACGGGGCATATGTCAAGAAGGCCTCATGTTTCTTGGACCCATCCTCCTCCTTTTCTCATCCCAGGCTTCTCTGAGACACTGTTTATGCTGAGGAATAAACATTTTCTGGCTTACTGTTCACACAGGAGGGAGTTTCTCCCCTTCTAGATAAGTTTTTATCCCACCAGTGTTCTGCTTCCACTTCCAGTAGAGACTGTGTTTAAAAAAAAAAAAAAAAAGAGGCAAATGTGCTTTCTCAGACTGCACAGAGCATCTCATTATTTTGTGAAGCCCCATGGCCACCTATTTCTGAGACATGGGGCATAGCGGAAGCCAGAGTTATTCTTGGCTGTAGATTTTATTCATCCTTTTCCACCTTGATTTCAATGAATGAGTTCAAGTCAGGACAGCAGGTTTTGTGGGGTTGGTCAAAAGATGGGGAGACAGGTGCATTCTCATCCCCTCCCTCGTCTTCCTCTTCTTGGAAATTAGGATTGTAAAGTTCTGGTGGAAGGAGCTGGGCTTCAGCAGAAGGCAGTCTGTCTGAGGGAGGCCCATACACACGGTTGGCTTTGGTGCCATGCTTAGAGTTAGCATCCAGGTGGTAGCAGAGCTCTGTGAGGCGCTGGGCCCGGAAACGGGGAGGGCGGGCCACCCACACACCTGGCTCATTAAGACTGTCCTCTTCATCTGACATCAGCTCCTCTGTCACATCCTTCCACAGACGTTGGTCCTCAGGTCCAAAATGCCTCATGATACTGGATCGGTTGGCAAAAAGCTAAGGCAGGAACCCAGGAGATAGATTAGGAAGGTAAACATTCTATGGATTAGATTTGGGGAAGAGGTTTAGTGGGGAAGGCTGTGTAAAATCTGTGCCTAAGTGAACCCAGTTCCCAAGTCAGATCTTAGCACTGGCTCACTGTTATTCTCTATCTTCCTACATTCCTGGCTCTCAACCCTATTCTCAGATGCCATGTCCTCTGGCCCTTCCCACTTAGGGAAGGGTTTAGAGTTTAGTTTCTTGAAAGAAAGGCCTAGAAACCTACCCGATATCGGCGACTTCGAAGTTTCTTCTCCTCTTTTTCCTTCAGGCCTTTAAAGGGATTCAGGGAGTTGCGATACTCACGCCTCTTAGTAAGGAAGTAGGCCACACAGGCTCCTGAGGGGGAGGGAAGGAAGGGAGCAAGAAGGAGGGTCCTCTAGAGTAGTGGTCCTCAGTCCGTTTTTCTGCCCTAACACTAATGAATGGGAGGTTGGGGATCACTACTTAGATGATGGGCTTTTTTTTTTTTTTGAGACACAGTTTTGCTCTTGTTGCCCAGGCTGGAGTACAGTGGCAGGCACAATCTCGGCTCACCACAACCTCTGTCTCCTGGGTTCAAGCGATTCTCCTGCCTCAGTCTCCCGAGTGGCTGGGATTACAGGCATGTGCCACCACACCCGGCTCTTTTTAGTAGAGACAGGGTTTCTCCAAGTTGGTCAGGGTGGTCTCGAACTCCTGACCTCAGGTGATCTACCTGCCTCGGCCTCCCAAAGTGCTGGGATTACAGGCGTGAGCAACTGCACGTGGCCTAGATGCTGGGCTTTCTTGGCATAGACATTAGCATCTATTCACTCCTCTTTGGTTTAGGTTTCTTTTTATTTATTTATGATTTTGTTACGAGACAGGGTCTCGCTTTGTCACCCAGGCTTGGGGGCAGTGGCATGGTCATAGTTCACTGCAGCCTCAAACTTCTGGGCTTAAGTGATCCTCCAGCCTCAGCCTCCTGAGCAGCTGGGACTACAGGTGCACACACCATGGCCAGCTAATTGGTTTAGCTTTCTTTGCCCACCTCCATCTCCAACACTAACTCCTCCCAAATATCTCCCACTGGAAAAAGACAACTCCACTTGCTCCTGTGTCTCCCAGCTCCCTCCACCAAATAAAACCTACCTCTTCTTGGGTGTGGTGGCTCACACCTGTAATCCCAACATTTTGGGAGGCCTCCTGCTGAGGCAGGAGGATTGCTTGAGCCCAGGAGTTTGAGACCAGCCTGGGCAACATAGTAAGACTCAGTCTTTATTTTTAAAAGAAATTAAAAAACAACAATCTACCCCTATTGCCACTCTTGATATAAGATTACAAGTATTTTTTCTTTTTTTTGAAACAAGGTTTGCCCACACTGGAGTTCAGTGGTACAATCTTGGCTCACTGCAACCTCCACCTCACAGGCTCAAGCAATCCTCCTGTCTCAGCCTCCCAAGTAGCTGGAACTATGTCATGCATGCCACCCTGCCCAGTTGATTTTTATTTTTGTTTGTTTGTTTTTGGTAAAGATGGGGTTTCACCATGTTGCCCATGCTAGTCTCGAACTCCTGGGCTGAAGCAATCCTCCTGCCTTGGTCCCCCAAAGTGCTAGGATTACAGGGATGAGCCACGGTACCTGGCCCTACCAGTACTTTTTCAGCAGAAGCTTTCGTAATACTTCAGTGTTAGCTACAAATAACAAAAGAGAGCAAGGAAAGAGAAAGCCTGGGAAATAATATTTAGGGACCAAGGGGCAGGCCTGGCTTCTGAACATAACACCTCCTCATAACACCTTAGATTCCTCCTTCTTATAATACCTTAGATTCAAGACCTGCATAAACAGAATACATGATGGTGTTCTAGCCCTTTCCTTCTCTCATTTTCGTTTCAGACTGAGAGGGAAATAAACAGGCAATTTGAGATAATTCTATGAATATATTTTAGGTGAGAATAGCCAAAAAAAGTTTCAAATCCACTATTTTCAAAACCACCTAAATCATCTCTATTATTCCTCTTCTCCTCTGACCAAGAAAGAGGAGTGGGAGGAGAGGGGGAGAAAGGATGGCATAGGAGTTAAACCAGTTTTTCTCACCTTTTAGCTCCTTATCAGTGTAATTGTGGGGACTGGTCACCAGCTCTTGCTTGAGCTTTTCCAGAAGAAACTTCACTACTGAAATATTCCAAGAGGACTTGATGCTGCCACAAAGAGAAGAGAATGAATAAGGTTGTCCGCTTTGTAAGAGCCAGACAAACAGAGGTACCCGGCACTAATCAACTTTGTGGCAAATCCCTCCATGGCCTAAGAAGGTATGGTGAGATCAAAGCCTGAGTCTCATTGCTGTATTGGAGCATCCCCCTCTACTTCCCTGTCCTCAGCAAAGTACCTTCTCATTCTTTTTCCTCAAGGGGACCATACCTTTCAGACCCATTGAATCTCTTGTCATTGGTGATGTGGTTATGCACATTGTGGACCAGTTTCTAGGGGAAAAAAAGAAAACATAGTCAAGCCAAGAGCGGATATTATGAAAACTGTCCTCTGGTCCCTACTGTAAAAAGGCATTGTCCCTAAGGGGCTCTCTGCCTGAATCCTTCCCATAGCCTAGGTACCATTTCAGTAGATGCCCTTTCTAAGCCAAGAGCCTATCCAAGTTACTATTTCAGGTGGGGTCTTCCCTGACTTTTCATTTCATGTGTGTCAGGATTCCAGGATCATCCCTGGCCTTACTTCTGCTCCTGAGTAGTGTGATCACTAGGGTAGAGGGTCTCAAACATTTCCATGAACATACCCCTGATACCCGAGAAAGCAAGTATATACTAGGAGTACTGCGAGTGAACATTTCTTTTTTACTTTTCTTTTTTTTTTGAGACGTAGTCTTGCTCTGTCACCCAGGCTAGAGTGCAGTGGCGCGATCTCGGCTCACTACAACCTCCGCCTCCCAGGTTCAAGCAATTCTCCTGCCTCAACCTCTCGAGTAGCTAGGATTACGGTCACCTGCCATCATGCCTGGCTAATTATTGTATTTTTGCAGAGATGGGGTTTCACCATGTTGGCCAGGCTGGTCTTAAACTCCTGCTCTCAGGTGATCTGCCTACCTTGACCTTCCAAAGTGGTGGGATTACAGGCATGAGCCACCACGCCCAGCCAAGTGAACATTTCTTTTTTTTTTTTTCTTTCCCACAAATAGCACTTTTTATTTGACACTAATTGAAGTCTGAACTTTAAACAGATTCTTGGACTGGTGGTTCATATCCATCAGCTCGTTCAACTTTAGCACCTGTCTCGTCCCCAGTGGCTTTTCCAGAACTCCTGCCTTCACCATGAAGCTCCATGAGCTTTCCCAATTCAAACTTGGGCTTCTTCAGCATTTTTACTTTTCTAACGAAGACATCATGGAGAGGATAAATAGATTGGCAAGCCTTTTCTATGTCTTTTCCAATGCTGTCTGGAATCAATTTATTGACCACTTCTTTCAAGTCATTTG